GCTTAGTGCTAGAAACTGACCACCAACCTGACATTGAGCCATTGATCACTACCAGTTGGGCCTGACAGTCTAGCCAGCTTTCTATCCATCTTACAGTCCATTTATCCAATCCATACTCCCTAACTTGCTGGCAAGAATATTGTGGGAGACCGTATCAAAAGCTTTGCTAAAGTCAAGGTATATCACATCCACTGACTTCCCCATGTCCACTGAGCCAGTTACCTCATCATAGAAGCTAATCAGATTGGTCAGGCACAACTTGCCCTTTGTGAATCCATGTTGACTTTTCCCAACCACATTCTCCTCTTCCAAATGCTTCAAAATGGATTCCTTGAGAATCCACCCCAAGATTTTTCCAGGGACTGAGGTAACGCTGATTGGTCTGTAGTTCCCTGGACCTTCCCTTTTTAAAAGATGGGCACTGCATTTGCCTTTTTCCAATCATCCCGGACCACCCCTCCCCCACCACCCTCCGATCTCCATGAGTTTTCAAAGATAATGGCCAAAGGCTCCGCAATGACACTTGCCAACTCCCTCAGTGCCCTCGGATTTGTGTATGTCCAGCTTTTCTAAATAGATCCTCACCTGTTCTTTCCCCACCAAGGGTTGTCAACCACATTCTCCTCTTCCAAATGCTTCAAAATGGATTCCTTGAGAATCCACCCCAAGATTTTTCCAGGGACTGAGGTAACGCTGATTGGTCTGTAGTTCCCTGGACCTTCCCTTTTTAAAAGATGGGCACTGCATTTGCCTTTTTCCAATCATCCCGGACCACCCCTCCCCCACCACCCTCCGATCTCCATGAGTTTTCAAAGATAATGGCCAAAGGCTCCGCAATGACACTTGCCAACTCCCTCAGTGCCCTCGGATTTGTGTATGTCCAGCTTTTCTAAATAGATCCTCACCTGTTCTTTCCCCACCAAGGGTTGTCCACTCCCTTCCAATACTGCGTTGCCTAGTGCATTAGTCTGGGAGCTGACCTTGTCTGTGAAGCTCAATGTAAAGGTGTATATCTAGGAATATGAGATGCAGGCCATCCTTACCAGATGGAGGACTCAATCCTGGGAAACAGTGATTGTGAAAAAGTCTTGGAGGATCCCTGCACAAAACCCTGGTAGCAGATCCACAGGGCGCTGGCCACACTGAGGCTATGTGTACACTCGCAGCTTCTTGAGCAAGAACATCTTGCGCAAGTGTTCTTGTGCAAGAACTTTTGTGCAAGAAAACATCCACACTTCTATGTGCGAGCTGTGCTTTTGCGCAAGAGCGCCCATGGCAGTGTGCATGCTTTCTTGTGCAAGAAAGCTCTGGTAGCCATTTTAGCCATAGGGCTTTCTTGTGCAAGAAATCCCTGCTGAGCATTCACACTGCCCTCTTGCACAAGAGCTCTTGCGCAAGAGGGCTTACACCTGTCAAAAAAGAGTGTAACTCTTGTGCAAGGAGCCTTCTCTTACCACGCCGTACTGTAAATTTACTTGTGCAAGAGCGGGCGGGCAGTGTGGACGCTCTGCAGATTCTTGCGCAAGAACGGCTGTCCTTGAGCAAGAAGCTGTGAGTGTAGACATAGCCTGACTGGCCCTGGTAGCACATTTGTGAAGAACGTTTGCTGGCCGGGAGCTGGAGAGGGTCCTAGAGCAGCTGCAGAGGCCCTGAGATTGTGGGTGGCTGGGCCAAGCTACCAGTGGAACACTGAGATCTCTGCCTAATTTTGGGGATCCCTAGGTCTTGGAGCCCCCTTTTCATTCCTCCGGGGCCTCCCCTCCTGGAACAATGTGAGAGAAATATCCATATTTGGAGCCTTGGGGACTCTTCCTTTTCTGGCTGCACCCTGTGTTTGTAATGCAGGAAAGGGGGCTGCTGAGCAGAAATGTGGTCCTATGTTATTACTGTTATTTTATTTTACATTACCAAGGTCACAGCTATGACAGCATCAAGTTTACCAATCGACTGCCCCCGAAGCAGCCGTGTGATGTATCAGAACCGTATGAAAAATGGTGACAAGCCCAGATTTCAGGAATGGAGCCTGCAGCAGGGCAGGTGCTGAAATCCATCTGGGTAGCATCACTGCCCATCCCCTGTGAATTGGTCTCCTTCAGTTTGCCATTGGCTGTGGTGGGATTACAGCTGGTGCACAGGAAGCCAAGCAGCTGAGGTTCCCTGATGGCCAAGTGGCCCCAAGGGAAGGTACAAACATGCTGCATAAAGGCAGCTGCCTCCCTAGCTGAACTCTCACTGCCTGCTGCCCGTGCAACCTCTCCGATGCTTCTGGGTGAAGACCTCTGGTGCCAGCGGCTCCCTTCTAGCAGGAACTGGGTACGTTGGCAGGTTTCACTGTCTTTGAAAGGAGCCCTGAACGGTGAAGGCTGTAAGCAGTTTGCATTTGCTGATGTTCTTTGCTGTGTCAAAGGGCTTGGCTGGGTTTTTGGGGGTGACAAGGCTGGAGGGCAGGCAGCGCGAAGTGCTGTGGGAATCCCTTCCCTTATGTTAGCCCATGCTTTACGGTGGGTTGTTCAGGCTCCACAGACATTTGACATTCACAGCGAGCTTGGAGGGCAAAAACCCAGATGCCCTGAGTCGGGATTTCTCACAGACTCCTGTTCCTCGAGGTGCTGAGCTCTGGGCTCCAACCTATCGGAGGCTGGCTGAGAGGAGACCCCATGGAGCCCCGAGCACATGGAATGTCACGGAGCCCCGCTTGGAACTTCAGCACTGACTCCCCAATCCCCTCAGGCGAATTTGCTCCCACAACTGTAACCCGCAAAGGCCTTTACCGGGATTTTATTCTCTGGCTCGTTTGTGAACACGGAAATTCAGAGCGTCACTGCTCTGCAGTAGGAGGTCCGATAGGGTGTATTTTTTGTTTCCTGGCTAGATGGCTCCACTATTTCTGCCCTGTAGAGCCCCCTGAGAGTTACAGTCTCACCGGCACCTCTGTGCCTCTCTGCTCCGCAAGTGCCAGACGTGAGGCCTCTGACCCAGCCCTGTCATTGTGAGTCGACTGGGCTGGCCCTGTACTTACAAAAGGGTCTAGCACCTGTTGGTCTTCCCTTTGCGAGCCCGTGAGCAGTGGGGAGACGAGTGACCAGCCAGCCTTATTGAACCAAAATACTGGTTAATCTGAACAGTGGGAATGAAGTGTAACATGGGAGAATAAGAGGGTTTTCAAACAACAGTCTGTCCACGCCTCTCACCCCAGGCCCCCTTACTCTGTCAGGGATCCAGGTAGACCAAGGGCTTCCCCAGTGGTCTTCCAACAGCTGCTCCACCCCTGGATAGACTCCCAGTGCTGGCAGAACAAGCTGGGTAACATGGTTAGAACCTGGAAACAGGCTCTCCCCAGCTTGTAGCTCCGGTCTGCTCTCTTGCCTCCCTGACGTACTCATGGAGTGACAGCTTTTCTTCAGCTGCTGCTTCCCTTCCTGCTTGTTTTCCAGCAGCCTGCTCGTAAACTAAGAGAAACCACACTGGTTCATACTAATACGGCCATGACATAAACATCCCAGTAGTTAACTCAGTATAGCCCTAACATAAACCTCCCAACGCCAGTGCTGAACAGACACATTCATTAAGTTACCACTCTGGATTCGGGCTCCAGGCTGACAGAACAGAACCTGAGGGGAACCACCCAGCATGAACCCAGGGAGAGAAGATTTTCTAGATTTTGTTTGCTGGCAAGTGGCAGGATAAGCACTGAGCTGCTGCGATCTCGTGACCTATGAGAGAACGTTGAAAGAACTGGGTTTGTTTGGTCTGGAAAACAGAAGACTGAGAGGGGAAATGTGTGACATGGGGTGTTTTTTGGGGGGGGGGCAGCATTGAGAGGGCCAAATCAGAGCTAATTGCTTACAGACAGGGCTACTTACAGTTCAAGACAGGGGATCCTCTACTATAAGGCATACAAACCAGTCACAAAGAACGCTTCTATTTGCCATACAGGCTAGCAAAATGAGAGGCTATAAAAACCAATCTCAGCCAAGCCAAACAAGTTTTTCTGATCCTAACGGACCAGCCATGTGCCTAGGTACATTTATACCTCAGATTTGACCCAAAAGATGTCCAAGACTCCTGCTGAGGTCTCCAGAAGCAAACATTTGAAATAAAATATATTAAGCAACACTCAGAAGTTCAAACGCAAAAATGATACATGCACACGAATAGCATAAACAGAATCAGCGAATTGTAAGCTTCTGAAAGACACCTTTTTTTGGCTAGTTGGCCCATTTTATAGAAGATTTGGTGCACACATAATAGCGGTGGTGGCAACAATGATATACATGTTCACATCGGAAGCCAATAATGTCACAACATAAGCATTTTCCAGGACATAAAAAGTGGTTACAAGGAGGAGGGAGAAAAATTATTCTCCTTCACCTCTGAAGATAGGATAAGAAGCAAAGGGCTTAAATTGCAGCAAAGGAGGTTTAGGTTGGACATTAGGGGAAAAAAACCTTGCTAAGAGTCAAGGTGGTTAAGCACTGGAATAAATTGACTAGGGAGGTTATGGAATCTTTGTCATTGGAGATTTTTAAGAAAAGGTTAGACTAACACCTGTCAGAGATGGTCTTAATGCTGTTGGTCTTCCCGTGAGTATAGGGAACTCGAGTTGATGACCTGTCGAGATTCCTTCTAGTTCTCTGTGCCTATGATCTTGTCAGATTCTGCAGAAATCCAGATGACAGATGCTACATTGTAAGTTTCACTCTAATGTGAGAAATCATCCCTGAAATTAGATCAGATGCGAAAGGAAGGACTGATATGTGCATACCAAGATATAGATGTGTAAAAATTCTGCCAAAGATTTTCATGGTATTATACCTTGCTATCAGTGCTGCAAATGCAAGATTATGTGTTTGGTTGTCTTCCTGGGGATACTGGAAATTTCTACCCTGAGAGCAAAATGATTTCTCATGAAGTATCATGTAATTTCCTGTTCTTTTTCCTTTTAGGAAAAAAAAGGTAATTTAAAAAGGTAAAAATTCATTGGACCAACCCAGTACATGATGTCAGCTGTCAATGACACACAAGTCACACATACTGTGTTCTTTCTCACCGGGATACCTGGGCAGGAAAACGTTTATCTCTGGATCTCTATTCCATTCTGTTTAATATATGCTATTTTGATACTGGGCAATTCACTCATTCTGTTCATTATAAAAACAGACCCAAGCCTCCATGAGCCCATGTACATTTTTCTTTGCATGTTGGCCCTCACAGACCTTGGCTTATCGGCAGCCACCATGCCGACAATACTGGGCATATTTTTGTTTAACTCTACAGAGATCACCCTGGATGCCTGTTTTACCCAGCTCTTCTTCATCCATTTTACTCAAACCACTGAATCCGCTGTGCTCCTGTCAATGGCCTTTGACCGCTTTGTTGCTATTAGTAACCCGCTGAGATATGCTTCCATCTTAACCCTGCCAAGAATAGCCAAGATGGGGCTGGTGTGTGTGCTAAGGGGAGTGGCCGTCATACTCCCCCTCCCCCTTCTCCTGAAACGGTACCGATACTGTCGAGACAACGTCCTCTCCCATTCCTACTGCCTGCACCAGGAAGTCATGAACATGGCTTGTGCAGACATCACGGTCAACAACATCTATGGCATGTCGGGTGCACTTTCCACCATGGGTTTGGACGCCATCCTGATCTTCCTCTCTTATGTGATGATCCTCAAAACAGTGCTGAGCATCGCTTCCCGGGCAGAAGGTCTCAAGGCTCTGAACACCTGCGTCTCCCACCTCTGCATTGTCCTGCTCTTCTACACCCCAGAGATCAGCTTGACTGTGATACACAGATTCATGAAGAGCTCTTCTCACTTGCTTCAGATAATCCTGGGTTACGTCTACCTGCTGGTCCCTCCCCTGATGAACCCAGTGGTGTACAGCGTGAAAAGCAAACACCTCCGTGCGAGGTTAATCAGGCTATTTGTCAAGTGAAGGGGCAGTTTATCATCATTGTGTGGAGCCAGCAGACAAAATCATCAATTGTGTGGCTACTTATCCCATCCTGGATTCTTACTTCCAAGACTAGAGTAGGCCCTCACCTCTCCTCTCTTGTGTTTGTGCAGAACTAGGGCACTGGTACAAAAACACTTGCATGCGTGGCTGCTTTAATGTCAGATTTTCTGTAGCTACAGTCAATAAAGAGAAGGACTGTGGCTGTTGTTTCCCATGACCCCTGGGCTGTCTCTGGCTTGTCTCTTGTTTAACGGGCAATGAAAAAGTTGGCAGAGTGGCTATTCAGTTAAAGTTCGGGTCCCTCCTGAACACTCTGGGTTCTGTGTGATCCAGGGCTGCTGTGCCAAGTATAAACAGATGTTGTAAAAGAGGGCCAGACACCCACCCGCCCCCTGCACTCTCAGCCAGGGGCTTGTCGTGCCAGAGACAGGATTATCACAGGAGCCTCCGGGCCAGCCAGTGAGGAGGCCTCCACCTGGCACTGATGTCTCTGCACATCACACCCCTGCAGAGCCCACCCCACCGAGGCAGGGCAGAGCTGTGTGTGTGGGCAGTGGTCTGGCACGCAGGACTTCTGAAGAGGGACTTGGGTCTCCTCCATTTGGGCAGCCCTAGTTGCTTGCCAAGGGATGGGAATAGGAATCAGCTCCCCCACATTGGCACGGCGAGCTCCGGCCGAGCCCGTACCGTGCAGGGCGAACCCCTTTCCAAAAGCCAAAACAGAACACAGGCAGGTCACTCTGGACACACGGGGTAGCTGGTGGATTCCTGAGGGGAGGTGGCAGTATCACGGGGATGCCAGGAGTTTCAGCACTCACTGGATGGATGTTTGCAAGCCATGGAGCCTGAATGGGTTGAAATACCAAACCATGGAGCCACAGACCTTCTTGGAGGTCTCCCTAAGAAGAAGCAGACTGAGGGCAAAGGTCAGCTTCATACCTCCGCCCTGTAACATGGACACAGCTGAGCACTGCAGGGACAGGCCCCGGGCTCACACATGAAACCCATGTCTCAGAAAAAGCTTCTTCCATGAGAACAGGGCAAACAGATGGGAAGAAGCAGGCTGTTGCCCTTCATCAGGGAGTGAGGGGAAAGTGGACGCTTTGCTGCCTTCCTCACTCTGTCTGTGGAGCTCAAGGAGCAGACGAGCCGTGCACTTTGCTCTCGTGCTCTGACAGGAAAAGGAAGGGGAAGAACAAGCAGTCCTGCTAGGATGCCCACCCACCACACACACACACCTGCACACACACACAGATTCTCCTGCCCAGAGCTCCTCCTCACCCCACAACCCTGTCTCCTGCACCTCCCCCCACCTTCAGCCCCCTGCCCCTCTTTAAGGACCCAAGTAACGCCGGGGTAAATGTGCTAGTCAAAACACAAAAATAAAGACAACAACATTAATCACATTTCACTACTCCTGCATTCAGTACTACAGTGATTTTGGAACCCAACACCAGCCGAAGTCGATCACTTTGTGCAATCCCGCACTCTCGTGGTTGCATATCTAGTCAGAGAAGGTGTGTTCATGTAAATGCAGTTTGCTTCTAAAGACTGGTCCCTACCCAGCTCTCTGTCAGGGTAGAATCATTCAGACCCAGCTTATAAAGGCTTCTGCACGATGCTGGGGTCACTGACCATAACGAGGAACTGGGATCATTGAGCCCAGAGGTCCCCTCCAGGCCTATCTCCTGATGGGTCAGAGTTGCCCATTATGCACCACACGGCACGCTGTTCATCCAATCTACAAAAACACAAAATAGAACATCTCATTTGTACCCATTTTTCACAGAAATGGATACATTTTCTCTGATAGCTCAGGTGCCATGATGCTGCCCAGTTCAACCGTTCAAGTTCCCAAGAGACATGGGAGGCCTTTCACCTGCTTCCCTTAACATAAACAAAGTTGAATTGAGTGAGCCTAGGGCTGAACTCTAGGTATGGAAAGGTTGAAAGCCCCTAACCAGTCTCTGGCTGAGGTATTGTGCCCATCAGCTATTGCAACCAGCCTTCGCATCTCTGTGCAGCCCCCTCTACCCCATAGAACGCCCTCATCAGCGGATCCTGTGGACAGTGGTTGCTGTGACAGGCCCTAGTAGCACATCTCTGATGAATCAGAACTAGTCGGGAGCTGGAGAGGGTCCTAGAGCAGCTGGGGAGACCCAGAGATTGTGGGTGGCTGGGCCGAGCTACCAGTGGATCCCTGAGTTCTGTGCCTAACTTTGGGACTCCCAGGTTTCTGGGTCCCCTTTTTTACTCCTCAGTGTGAAGGGAAGGGACCTCCCCTTCTGGAACAATCTGAGGAAATTTTCCATGTCTGGAACCTGTGGAATCTCCCTTCCCTGCTTGTAGCCCAGGTTTGTAATACAGGGGAGAGGATGGTCGGGGAGAACTGTGGTATTATTATTATTGTTATTATTACTATTATTTCAGCAAGACCAGAACATTGTTGAAACAGCATCATCTTTACCTCTTGGCCGCCATCAATGGAGCCGTATGAGTAATCAGAACGTTACAAACAATGATAACCCAGCTTGGATACCAGGAATGGAGCCTGCAGCAGGGCTGGTGCTGCACTCCGGTTGTTTAGCATCATCCCCCGGGATTTCACCTCCTGCCGTTTGCCATTGGGCATGGTGCAGTTAAATCTGGTGCACACGAAGCCAAGCAGCTGAGGTTCCCTGATGGCCAAGTGGCCCCAAGGGAAGGTACAAACATGCAGCATAAAGGCAGCTGCCTCCCTGTCTGAACACACGCTGCCTGCTGCCCGTGCAACCTCATTGATGACTCCTTGTGCTGTAGGGGAAGACCTCTGGTGCCAGCGGCTCCCTTCTAGCAGGAACTGGGTACGTTGGCAGGTGTCACTGTCTGTAACATGCCAAGTGCAGGGCGAAGGCTGCAGGCTGTTTGCATTGGCAGCTGTTCTGTGCAGCGGCAGAGGACTCAGCTGGGCTGTCGGGGTGACTCAGTGATGGGGCTGGAGGGCAGGCAGCACTAGGGAGCTTGGGAACCCTCCCCTCCATTTGCCCATGCTCCTTAGGGAGCTGTACAAACTGCACAAAGGTCACACGCTGAAAGCAACCTCCTAATGTTAAAACCTTGAAGCCCTGTCTCAGAACGTCTGAAGGAGGGAGAAGTCCTAGAGGTGCCATGTCCTGCCAGGGGCCGAGCAACCTGAGTCCCCACAGAACATTGGTGACTTGTTCCCTTATCACCGCAGGTTTATTTGCTCCTGGAAATTTAGCACCAAAAGCATTTTCACAGGTTTTGTCACATGGCTCACTTGTGAAGGCAGGAATCCGGAGCTGAGTTGCTCTGTGGTAACAGGCCCGATAGGGCTTATTTCAGCTCCCTGACTGGCTGAGGGCTCCAGCACTTTTGTCCTGTGGACACCCCTCTGAGGTACAGGGTGACCAGCAGCTCGGCCCCTCGCTGGTGTGTAAGTGCCGATGTCAGGCCTTGTCGCTGGCCCTCTCACGGGGTGGAATCCCACGACCCTGCCGTCCTCAGACTGGGCCTTGAGCTACAGAGCCCTGTGGGTCGGCTGTGCTTGCCGGGCAGCTCCGAGTGGGTTCTGCGCCTGCAGATGCTTCTTTTGGGAGTCGGTGAGTAGTGGTGAGACATGTGACCAGTCAGCCTTCTTCAATGTGAACAGCAGGAAGGCAGCGTAACGTGGGGGAATAAGAGGGTTTTCAAACAACAGCCTGTCCATGTCTCTAACCCCATCCCCCCACTCTGACAGGGACCCAGGCAGGCCAGGGGCCTTCAGCCTTCCCCAGAGGCATCTGTGCCTGTCGGTCTGAAGAGCTTCTCAGCAACAGCTGTCCCCCTCCCCATGGACAGACTCCCAGCACTGGCAGAACAAGATGGGAAACATGGCTGGAGCACAGAAACTGGCTCTTCCCAGCTACTAGCTCCGGTGTGGTCTCTTAGCCTCTCCAAAGTGCTCATTGAGCGACAGCTTTTCTTGAGCTCTTGCTTCCTTCCTGCTTGTTTTCCAGCAGCCTGTTACTAAACTAAGACAGCTTCAGGGGGGCAGCTGAGTTAGTCTGTAACAGGAAAACCTTACAAAACAACAAATGGTCTGGTAGTACTTTATAGACGAACAAAACATGTAGATGGGATCATGAGCTTTCGTGGACACAGCTCACTTCTTCAGATGACCAACCATCATGCCCATGGAAGCTCATGATACCATCTACATGTTCTGTTTGTCGTTAAAGCACTGACTAAGGAAGTCAGTCATGTTTCACCTAATACAGCCATAACATAAATACCCCAATCGTGCTCTGCAGCAAAGATCTCCAGAACGGCGCTTAACAGACACATTTATTATCGCACCTCAGCACTGTGTCCGTCCTAATGCTGTCGGCAGGTGTGATGTATTTTATGAATACAAGGCACAGACAGAGATAGAGAGAGAGCAACAGACCATATTCATGTATAAAATGAAGTTCCATTTCATGAATATTCATGAATTTGATTTTGAAATCTACTTCTCTCCCATTGTGGCTGAAGATCAGGTGTTGAGGTTACTATGTACTAGAGATTGAGCGCTCAGGGAAGGAATATTTCATATACTGGTCCAAATTTCTGTTACTGCTCTGGATACAAGCTAGAGCCTAACAGAACCTGAGGAGAACCAGTCAGCTGTTAACCCACAAATGGAGGAGATACTAGTCGTTGCTAAGTAGATACGTGACTGAACAAGGGCTGAGACGCTGCCATCCTTTCAGGTTGTGAAGACATCCAGATGATGGACACTTCATTTTGTGTCCCACCCTAACCTGAGACATCATCTCTGAAAGAGGAGCCCAGGGAAGAGACGTGGTTGACATGTGTGTGCTAAAGTACAGGTGTGTAAATGTTCGGTCAAACCTTTCCAGGGTTATACAAATATACAAACTAAACTTTGATGAACTGAATGCATGTTGAACGCCATCATGGGGTTTTCTGGACAGGAAGGAGCTGTGGTAATTTTACTGCTTAATGGATTTTGCTTTAGAAAGTATTTCAAAAGTTCTCCACATAGGGTGTGTCTAGACTACAGTTTTGTTGACAAAAGTGGACTTTTGTCGACAAAACTATACCTGCGTCTACACTACCGCTGAGTTCTGTCGACATAACGTTGACAGAACTCAGCAGTTTTGTTGACGCTGGTAAACCTCATTTTACGAGGCATAACGCCTTCTGTCAACAGAGTTCTGTCGACAGAAGGTGTTATTGCATGTAGGGTTGTGTCTAGACTACAGGGTTTTGTCGACAAAGCAGCTTGCTTTGTCGACAGAACTGAATGTAGTCTAGATGCTCTTTGTCGACAGAAGCTTTGTCGACAGGATCTGTCGACAAAACTTCTGTCAACAAAACCCTGTAGTCTAGACGTACCCATACTGTTAGCCATGGGTTTGTGCTATTAACTCTTCATTCAGCTGTCTGACGCTGTCTCCTAGGAAGAGAAGGGGATCTGTTTCTAAAACTTGCATTCAACGTCATGCATTCAGTCATGCCTCAAAACTTGTGCAGGACTTTCCAAAAGAGGCGGGCAGGTTTGTGTATTTTTTTGTTGGTGTCTATTACGGGCCTAAGTCCCACCCCCCATAGATGCCTTGTAAGGACAGAGTGTTGGGGGGCATGGGTGAGGGGTGTGGTGTGGGGCAGGGGATGACAGGTTTGTTGGGAAGGAAGAGCAGGGGGACCCAGAAGCAGACGGAGTAGATAGACTTCTTTATTGCATTTACTCGTTCCATCTCAACCCTAATCATTCGAGTGAGCAACACATTAACCACAGGTACACTCTTTTATCCAAGTGAGTATGTAAATACACATACCTATTTCAGCTTCCCCAGAACCCTTATTTAGTAATATGAACGCCCATGCAATGAATAGGAATAGCCATATGAGGAATATAATCATACACATCCTGCGTCCTGTTTACAGCACTTTTCGCTTAAGCATATGGTTTTTGTAGCATACATTCCCTTAATCAGCAGCTTACAGAGAGGGTAGGAAGGAGCCATAACTCCAAATAAAGGGGGGGGGGGGGAAGGAAGGAGAAAATCACACTCCTTTACACCCAGGATGCTAATTAGATAATTACATTCTTTGCCTGCAGCACACTCATCTATCCTTAGTAAGTGAGGGTATGTCTACACTACCCCGCTAGTTCGAACTAGCGGGGGTAATGTAGTCATCTGCAATTGCAAATGATGCCCGGGATTTGAATTTCCCGGGCTTCATTTGCATAAAGCCGGCCGGCGCCATTTTTAAATGCCGGCTAGTTCGAACCCCGTGCCGCACGGCTACACGCGTCACGGAGTAGCTAGTTCGGATTAGGCTTCCTAATCCGAACTAGCTGTACTCCTCATTCCATGAGGAGTTACTTGATCCTTACGTACCCCAACAAGATTTATGGTGCTGGAGGGGGCTCAGGGTTCAGGGCTCAGGCAGAGGTTTATGATTCAGGGGGTGCAGACTCTGGGGTAGGATGAGGAGTTTGGGGTGTGGGAGGGGCTCAGGGCTGGGGCAGAAGGTTGGGTTTGGAGCCTGAAGGCTCTGAGGCTGGGGATAAGCAATTCAAATTTTGCAAGGTAGAGGAGAAACTCAGCTCTGACATTGGTGGAACTGGGCACCCAAGACCCTGCTTTTTCTGGAGCTCTGGCTCCATGGAACCATACTTCTCGCCACTCCGGGTCTTGAGAGAACAGAACCGCTGGTCTGTGTTTCGGCAAAGAGTAAAGCTGAGGTGCAGGAAAGGGGAGTGTAATAGTCTTTGTATGTATTTTACTCTCATCACCTTGTACATGGTGTGCAAAAGGTGGGGGCCCACAAGAGACCTTAATATACCTTGACTCTCTAGGCTTCTGTTTTAAAACTCCCTAAGGTCACAGTTCCCCGGCCTTGGGAGCGTTCCTGCTACCACACAAGTGGGAAAAAAATACCTTTCTTCTTGAACCCAGGAAGAGTCACTTGGGAACTTCTTCCAGAGGGAACCTTCACCACAAGAGTGCTTTAAAAAAAGGCAAACAAACTGTAATCGATGACAGGTGACCTCTCAGTCTTAGGCATGAATACTCAGCCCTCCTATTACCTTCCAGGACACAAGAATCAGATCATAGCCTTAAAAAAGGTGATTTTATTAACAAAACAAAACAATCTACTTGGCAAAGCAGACTTGGTTGCTAAGTGGTATAGAGCAACTGAGAAAAGAACAGATTAAAACACAGAGAATTGCTTCCCTGGGATTCAGCTTGTTACAGTGTATGGGGTGGTGGGAGGCACATGGATTTAGCACAGAGTAGTTTAACCAAACAACAAAACAAGGAAAATAACCTGATCGTAGCTAACTAAAACATTCCCTATCTACTCACAAAGCTGTACTTCCAAGGTCCAGTCCAATTCTAGGCCAAGGTATGCCTTTTCTAGGCATGTTATTCCTGCCTGGTTCAATTCATCTTCTTCTCCTGCCAGTCCCTGGTTTAAACTCTCCCAAACAGAAGCAGAAGGAAGATTCCCTTTCAATTCAAATGTTAACACTTTCTTCCCATTGGTTCTCCTGGCTCCCTGCCAACATTCCTAGCAACCTAGCTTTAACCCTTTAGTTACTGAATGCTGGGATGTTTAGAAAAAGGCAACGTTCCTCCCATCCATCACACATAGGCATGGCAGAAGTAACTTGCACACTCCAGTGGATATTAGTGTAAACCTAGTATTTTCACTGTTCACCTATTTGTGCTGCCGTCCCCTCCTGTTTCCAGCTAGAGTAACTGTCAGTGTTAGCTTGTAACTTGCCAGAAATCTACAGATCTTTCCATGGGGAGAGGATGCAGGTTGTGTGAGGATTACGACAAATCTGTAGGATGATCAAACTGTCTAGATTCAGTCAACATTGTCCAGGCAAAACTAAGATTCTCGTAAAGAGAATCCTAGGGGTCAGAGTCCATCATGGTAAGCATTTGTTAAGGGAAAGCTAATAGAGTCTTGTTCTCACTGAATTCACATATGAGACTCTGGAGTGAAGCAATTGAACTAAATGCTATTGAATTAAAAACCTATCCTAAAAATTTAGCCCATGTACTGTAAAGTGGCAGTGGTATAATTTGAACTCTTAGAAGTGGTAAAAATCACACACACAACATTAGAATACTTACCTGCCGTTTCCGGGGTCTGATCCAGTCTGACATTGACTATCTTTCTATTGGTGGTGAAAATCCAAGACTAACTATTTTCTGATCTTCCTTGAGTTCCTGGGCATCTCTAGACATGCACTGACAACAGAATGATGTTTTTTTCTTTTTAGGAAGGAAAGTTCAAAACATCTCAGACACGCCCAATACATTGTCAGCTGTCATATCTAGACTCCTGTTCTTTTTCCTTTCAGGAAGGAAAACTCAAACCTCCTCAGATTCGCCCTGTACATTATGTCAGCTGTCAACGACACCAAATCCAACTCTGTGGTGTTCTTTCTCACTGGGATAACTGGGCAGGAAGATATCTATCTCTGGATCTCTATCCCCTTCTGTTTAATGTATGTTATTTCAATACTAGGCAATTCCGTCATTCTGTTCATTATAAAAGCAGACACAAGCCTCCATGAACCCATGTACATTTTCCTTTCCATGTTGGCCATCACAGACCTTGGCTTATCAATAGCCACTATGCCAACAATACTGGGCATATTTTTGTTTAACTCTAGGGAAATCAACCTCAACACCTGTTTGGCCCAGCTTTTCTTCATCCACACACTTTCGAAAATTGAATCATCTGTGCTATTGCTGATGGCCTTTGACCGGTTTGTTGCCATCTGTAACCCACTGAGATATGCTTCCATCTTAACTCCGCCGAGAATAACCGTGATGGGACTGGCGTGTGTGCTAAGATCGGTAACACTAATATTCCCACTCCCCCTTCTCCTGAAACGGTACCGATACTGTCGAGCCAATGTCCTTTCCCACTCCTACTGCCTGCACCAGGAGGTCATGATGATGGCTTGTTCGGACATCACCATCAACAGCGTCTATGGCTTGTGTGTTAAACTCTTGACAGTGGGGTTGGACTCATTCCTTATCTTTCTCTCTTATGTGATGATCTTCAAAACCGTGCTGAGCGTTGCATCCCACATGGAGCGCCTCAAGGCCCTGAACACCTGCGTCTCCCACCTCTGCGCCGTCCTGCTCTTCTACACGGCAGACATCGGCCTGGCTGTGACGCACAGATACGGAAACAGCTCTTCTGACTGGTTTCAGATTTTCCTGGGCTACATCTACTTGCTGGTCCCTCCCCTGATAAATCCGATAGTGTACAGTGTGAAGAGCAAACACCTGCGTGCAAAGATCATCAGGGCATTTTTTAAATGAAGCGACTGTTCATGACCCATCTTCAGGGCTCGTGATACAGGAGACCAACAGCTACAGCAACAGCCACCTCTTCCATCCTGAATCATCTTCCTCTGAGGCCTGGACTAGATTTCCCTCATGACCTCACCCCTACTCCTCTTCTTTCTCCAAGACTCTACCCCCACTCTTCATGGCCGGGCACTCAGACAGCCAGAGCTTCCCGAAACAGCTTGTTTCCAGGAAGACCCATGACTCCAGCCTCTTAGGCTGTGTCCAGACTCAGGGGTTCTTTCGAAAAAAGTAACCTTTTTTCGAAAAAACTTCACCTGCGTCTAGACTGCAGCCGCGTTCTTTCAAAATTAAATCGAAAGAATGCGGCTTTTCTTTCGACGGTGGTAAACCTCATTTCACGAGGAAGAACGCCTGCTTTCGAAAGTGCTCTTTTGAAAGAAGGCGTTCTTGAATGTAAATAGGGCTTCTTCGAAAGAGAGCATCCAGACTCACTGGGTGCTTTCTTTCGAAAAAGCGGCTTGCTCTTTCGAAAGTTCCGCGTGCAGTCTAGACGCTCTCTTTCGAAAGAGGCTCTTTCGAAAGAGGCTTGCAGTCTAGACATAGCCTTAGTTTCTGTGGCAGACCTGGGAGTGTTCGAGGCTGAGAGTGAGGGTTATGTAGTAGATTTCTGAGGGGAGTGTTGGAGAGGCACAGGGATGATGGGAGTTTCAGCACAGTCACAAGACAGGTGTTTGCAAGCCTTTAAGGCTGAATGGGGTTAACTGCCAAGCAATGGAGAAAACGCCATGTAAGAATTATCGCTAATCACTGGCTGGGAGAAGCCATCTGAGGGCAAAGCTCAGTTTCCCACCTTGGCCTGTAACATGGACATGGCTGAGCACTATGGGACTGGCCCCAGGCTCCCACAGTTTCAGCAAAGGCTGCTTCCGCAAGAACAGGGCAAACAGAGGGGAAGATCCTCTCAGAGATGCAGGGATCTAGGTTGGGTCCCAGGAACTTGTTGGCTCCCCAAAAGAACATAAACTGGGCCAGCTCTGTTCCTGCATCTCCAAAGCAAACCCTGTCTGACTTAGCTTACGTGAGCTAGATGAGTGTAGATGTGACAGCTGCCTGTCATTTTAAAACAATTATCTCTAATGCCTTGTGCTATTTACCAATAAACATACTCCTGTTAACAAGGCTTGGGATGACTGTATAGCGGCAGTGCTCAAACTATGGTTGGAATCCCACAGTGATGTGCTATGGTCCAGGGTGAAGCCATCAATCATGGCCAAGGTCAAAGGCCTAGGGCTCCAACTGTGGGTGGTGCGGATAAAGTTATAGGCTATGTGCCTGGGGCTGACACTACAGCGCTAATTCGAACTAACTTAGATTGAATTAGTTAATTCGAACTAAGCTAATTTGAACTAACGGATCCAGACTAAAAAACTAGTTCGAATTAGCGTTTTGCTAATTCGAACTAGCATGTCCACATTAAGTGGACCCTGAACCGGGGTTAAGGATGGCCGGAAGCAGTGCCGGCAGGGCATCAGATGAGGACTTAGAGCGTGGAGCTGCTGCCTCAGGCTAGCCGAGGGCTGTGCTTAAAGGGACCTGACCCCCACCCTGGACAGACAGTTCTCAGGGGTGCCCCGCTTGCAAAGCAGTCCTGGCTT